TAAATCTAGAGTCAATGTGTGAAGGTATCACTGGGAGGCAGAGGGAGGTCTGAAAGAGGGGAAATGTGTCTTGGGTGGGCAAAGAGATGGGATGGCAGCTGGGGAGGGAAGGAGATAGGTGATAGATTGGGGGTCTGCAAAGAAACAGTGTGGCTGGAGAAAAAGGAACTGGGACAAGAAATGAGATGTTGGGGATGGGAGACTTTAACTGGTGATATATGCAGCCAGTGGAGCAAACAGGACAGGGATGTTCCTGTGAGACTATGTAATCTCCCATGGGTACTGGAGGTTCTCACTTAAATGCCCCCTTTCTTTTGTATTCAATGCTGAAAGCTTTCACACAAGTCTTCTGCCTTGTAGGGAGACAAAGAGCAATAACTTCTTGTCTTTTAGTCTGCAGGGGTAAATTGCATTCTCTTCACGAATTTCACAGTGTACCACACAGAGTATGAATGCAAAAGTCTGGGAACTTTCTTCAAAATTAAATCACATGTCTGTTTATTTTTTTGAATAGCAGCATTGACTGCTTCCTTTCCTCTTCACATGAATGCACAAATAGTTGGTGCGGGGGACTTCTTCCAAACTGGGAACTCTGCTGAGTTGTGTGTCAATTTTTTTGCCTGCTTATAGAGATATCAATCTATGTTGTTGCTCCCTGCTGTCAACTAGACATCCCCAGACTGTGGTTTGAGTAACATTACTGATGGGAAAATCAGTTTAAATGGTGTTTGTAGGGCAGAAGAAGAAAGATACAAATTATGAGAATTATAAGTGAGGATACTACAAATAAGGGAATTACAAAGAGAAATCAAGGCGAGGAAAAGCAGCAGCTCTGCCCAATGTGCTTGCTGCACATTAAATTGTGCATCTCATGGTATCTTGAAAATCATTGCTGAAATCACAGGAAATGTTGGTTCAGAATGAGGAAGAGCTGTGTCTTCTGATAAACCTTTCTTGAGAGCCCCACAACCAAAGTCCTTCAGTCTCCTGAACCATTGTGCTGCTTTCTCAGCCTCGATGAGAATCCAGTCTGAAAAGGAGAAATTGCCTAATAAGCTGAACCCATTTTAAGGGCTTTGGCAAAATCAGACCCATCACTTGAAAAATAACTGAACAATGCTGACCAGAGCAAAGGTGTCTGCATGGCACTGGGGAGCCCAGACACAGTCACTGATGGCTTTTGAGGGTGTTATGTTAGTTTGGGTGAGGAACAAGACAAACGTGTCATATGAGCACTGGGACTGCCTTCATTGCTGAAGATGTTAATTTGCAACTCTGGGAGGGACTAAGCAGGGCATGAAAATTTCATTCCATTTGAAAAATGGGAAAACAATAAATAACATAAATGTGGGCCAATGGGATATTGCCTTCAAGGGAGCGAACTAACACGCGGTTGTGGTGGGGTGACTGGTTGGATGATAGGTGTCCACCAAAGCAGCTCCATCACTGCCCTCCTCAGCTTGCCAGGGCGGAGAAAATACACTGAAAAGCTTGAAGGGTTGAGTCTTCTCTCTCCTCGCTCTGGCTGTGATTGTTGTTGTGCTGTTTTTCTCCCCTTCTTAAATTCATATTCAGTGATTCCTTTATGGGAATACAAGACTACCCCTGATGAAACCTGACTTTACCTCCTAAGGTGTTTGGGACTCACTCGTAGGCCATTGCCCTTGGTGGAGTGACAATACCACAGAAATATCAGCCAGGAAGACTCTTAGTAGAGTTATGCCCATAATGCAAACACTAAATTGAAGTTCATGTTCTGCCACTGATTTGATGTTTGACAAATGACCCTTTTGTGTTTTGTTATTCACTTTGCTAAATTGGATAATCATTCTTGCTCACCTCCCTAAAGCAGTGTGACATCTATAACTGCAAAACAATCAACAGAACCATGCAGAATTCCAGCTATATAGAGTAACTTAACAGAAATCAAACCCTGCAGCAGCACAACAGTCACTTCATCTCCAATTTCACCTACTATGTATTTTGGGGTTAATTTAATTTTCTTTATGGCAATTTAACTGCAATATTGGCATAATAGTGTTCATTTTAAATTCACGTTTGTTTTGGGGCATGCTTATATATTAGTATCCTGCTTAGGCACAGTGGAAGTATTGTTCTCTCACCCTGAAAGATAAACTCTAAGAAGATATTATAGATGTGAATGCCATCTATTATGAATAGAAGAGCACTTTGTGTTTCTCAGCAAAGGTCCCAGTTAGCCCAGGTGCAATGAGAACCTGCCCCCATCTGAACACCGGATAAATGCGTTGCACAGAGGAAGGATAAAGAGAAATAAAAGATTCACAGCCTGCTGAAAAGCAAACCAGCTTCCTCTCTCCCTGGGAGCTGCACACGCCGGCCCTGCTGAAGCTGTGGTATCTCAAGTGAAGCAGCATTGCCAAGGACAGGTATTTGTGTATGAGATCTTTGCTCTTTAGAACTAGTGCTATAATTAAAACGGAGCTGAAACTTCATAAGCTGTACATTTCTAGCAGCAGAAGAGAATATCTCATTTTTACACCTGGAAAAATAGAAGCAAAGTCGTTGCGGAGAGATGAGTCCTGCTGTTTACTCCCTTCATCAAATCGTGGAGTGATTCTTCACTTGTGAAAACACAGCTCCTCAGCAACACCCCCTAACCCACAGGGGCTGAGGCTATAAATGTAGCTTAGCAGTGGGTTTATTCTAAGTTGTTTTTCATTGTTTGTTTGTTGGTTGCTTTTTTTTTTTGCCCAAAGCACTGTTAGCAAGCCTACTTCTCTGTCGAGCCATCCCAGCCATCTGCCAATGTGGGCTCAAAAGAACATTCTTCAGGGCCTTATCCAATTTATTGTATCTGATTCATTAAAGTAATTACTCTTGATATTAAATCATTGCTTTGAGTTTGGCAGCTGCATGATGACCTGGGACTTAAATTTCTAAACCAAGCTGAAGTTCTTGTGCTTATTTTATTAAATCTCACATTGTCTGAAATGAGCAGGGGTCTTGTCTGCCCAGTGTGAGTGTTCCCTGGTGCAGCAGTCCTTGAGCAGCTTTGGCAGGTGTGACAGAGAAAAGCATGTGTGGAAAAGCCTCTCTTCTGGCTTATCTGGTCTGTTGGAGTTAATGATGCTCTGCTGGCACAATAGGAGTGGTGTGATTTTAGCTGGGAGTGATAAGATGGCACCAGAATTATTAGGCATCAGTTACCAACAGCGTCCTCAAATGTCCCGGGCCTTTGAGTTGTGCCATGCCTTTGTTTATTGTGGTCAAAGCTCTGGGGAAATGCCATGAATCAAATTTCCTATGGCATTTCTGAAATGGGGGGTTCCTGTCACCCACATGTGGAAAAATAGAATTAAATAAGGAGACAGGACAGAGCTGAGGAAGGTTTGTGGATTGTGGAAAGGAACCTCCTGAGAGTCAGTGCTGATGCACAGCTCCTCAACACGGAAACAGAGCCCCATTCCTGAAATCCGTCTTCCTGCAGCACCAAACCCCCAAACTGAAGAAAACAATAAAGGCCAAACAGGATCATTTAATAAGTCTTGAGTGGGGACCCTCCAGGGTCTTTGAACCCAAGAAGGGGCCAACCCCATCACTCACAGGGCTGAGCTGACACAGGACATCTCTGATCCCTGACGCCGTCCAAACTCCTCTGTGCCGAGACCTCCTTGCCACCCTCCCACCCAGTCCTTTCTCCTCAGCTCACACTGGGACTGTCATCTGTGTGGGTACAATGGTGTTCTGAGATTATCTGCTCTCAGTATCCTAACCCTGCCAGGAGCTAATCTGGAAGATAAGGTGGCGTTAAAATATTTCTGCTGCAAATAACTGAAGCCCAGTTGGCTTCAAATGTTCCATTTTACTGCACCTTTCTTTGCAATGTTTATGAGCTTTGAACTATTTATAAAAGCAGATAAAGTTCAAAGGAGGCCTTTTAGAGCTGGAGGTTCTCGTGCTGGGAACTTAATTGGAAAAGTGCAAAGTCCTGGGATGCAAACACCCATTGCTTTTGTACCTGGCAAAGAAAGTTACCGTAAATGTCTCACACTGTCATCAGTTGATCTCTGCTGTTGGCATTCAAACCTGTCACACCCTCCCCTGCCTGAGTTACTCCACTCCCCTCTGACTGAAACCCTGGCAAGGCTGATTCCTGAGTCTGCAGCCATGTGGGAATGTTGTTTGCAGCTGGACACCTGCTGCCTATGAGACCCTGTGCCAGATGTTCCCAAGGGGAGATGAAGAGCCCTTTGTGCTGGTCCCTTCCAGTACCTGAAGGGAGCTTACAGGAAAGATGGGAGAGGGAGTTTTTACAAGAGCATGTAGTGACAGGACCAGGGATCCCTCTGTAAAGGGAAATGAGGCAGTCTCTGTGTGTGTTTCCCTCCTTTGTGGTCTGTTAGGGACCCACTGTGCGTCCTAGTGCTGGAAAGTCAGTGGTCTCCCACACCTTGAGCATCAAACTAAAAGAGAGCAGATTTAGATTGGATATTAGGAGGAAGTTCTTTGCTGTGAGGTTGGTGAAGCACTGGAAGAGCTTGCCCAGAGGAGTTGTGGATGCCCCATCCTTGGAAGTGTTTAAGGCCGGGCTGGATGGAGTTCTGAGTAATCTGGTCTGGTGGAACAGGGCACCCATGGCAGGGGCTGGAATGAGACGGCCTTTAAGTCCCTTCCAGCCCAGCCCATTCTGTCAGTCTGGGATTGCCGGGCTCACCCTCCGCGCTGTGCCGAGGGAGAACGGGGCAGCGTGACGTCACGCGCGGAACATCTGACGTCAGAGCAGCGTGACGTCACGGCGGGGGCGGGGCCGGCGGGGAGGGGGCGGCAGGTGGCGCCCGGCCGGGATGGGATGGGATGGGATGGGATGGGAAGGGAATGGGGCGGGATGGACGGGGCGGGCCGCGCTCCCGGCTGACAGCGGCGGCCCTGCCCTCCCTCCCGGGCGGCGCGGCGGGAGTTGTAGTGCGCGGCGGGCGGAGGCGGCCGGGCCGGCCCCGGGGCGGACTACAAGTCCCAGGCGGGGCGGGCGGCGGCGCTGTGTGTGAGCCGAGCCGAGCCGAGCGGAGCGGGGCGGGCGGCGCGGCGGGGCTCGCTGGGCGCCGCGGCCGTAACCTCCCGTCTCTCCCTCTCGCAGCGGCGGCGGCGGCGACGATGCAGGCGGAGTCGGGGATCGTGCCGGACTTCGAGGTGGGCGAGGAGTTCCACGAGGAGCCCAAGACGTACTACGAGCTGAAGAGCCAGCCCCTCAAGAGCAGGTGGGGCGGCGGGGCCGGAGCGGAGCGGGGCGGGCGGGTGCCCGCCGAGCATCCCCGCGGGCGCTGCTGCGCAGCGGGGCGGCCGGCAGCGCTCCTGCCATAATAGCGGCGTTGTTGGCGGAGGGCGGGCCGGGCCCGCGTTATGTAAAGGGCATTGTTGGCCGTGCGGGCCCGGCTGTGCCCGGGGCAGCCCCCGCCGGCCGCGGGGCGAGGCGGCGGCCGCACCTGCCCCCGGTGAGCGCCGCGGCCCAGACCCCCCCGGCGGGGCCAGCGCGGAGCTGCGAGGGGCTTGCCAGGTCCTGTAGCATCGAAGGTTGTTCTCGGTGGGCTTTTTTTCTTAGTTGTTTTCCTTCCCTCCCTCCCTCTTTCACCCCCCGCGACTTTGAGAGTAGGTTTGTTACTTGCAATTGCTTGGGGACTGGAAACTTGCTAGGTAGGTCACTTTCTTACTAGAGTGTTGTTTTTTTTTTTTTTTTTTTAATTCGCCGAGATAGACCCTGTTTGCTTATCTGGAGCGGCTGCGTCGCGTAGATATGCTCTGTAAAGGGAAATGAGGCGGTCTCTGTGTTTGTGTTTCTCTCCCTTGAGGGCTGGTAGGGACCCGCTGTCCGTCCTAGTGCTGGAAAAAGAAAGTCAGTGCTCTCCCGCGCCCTGAACATCAACCTTGTCAGCGACGGCACGCCTCTCCCTCCTCTTTTTTCATTCAACGAACCCTCCATTTCACCTCAGTGCTATGCTCAGCAGCACTCTGCTGAATATAAGGTCATTGCTGCAAGTGTATTGTGTTTGTAATCATGTCTGTTGTTAGCCTGTCTCTGTATTCATATTTTCGTTTTGAACACTGCTCTTTGTACATCTGTGTGCAGTTGAAAAATGAATGAGAAGGTAAATATTGAAAAATAATTGTGCTAGAGTGACTTTAGGTTGTACCGTCTGTCAGACCCACTTCAAAGCAAATACATGAATTTTTGATAATCCTCTGAATGTTTCAGAAACACTGAAAGTCTTGTAGTAAAAGATGTTAAAAATTCTCTCGCTGTCACAAGGGCTAGTGGATCTGGGACCCCCTCCTGTGGCCTGTCTTCACAGGAACCCTACCTCACACTGAACCTGTGGTACTGCTGAGGGAGGTTGCAGGTAGTGGTGATGTGCAGACTGTGGGGCCATCCAACCAAAGTTGCCAGAACTCCTTTGCTCCCCAAGGGTATGCAGGAAAGATGCCGTTATCCAGGTAATTAGGTGGGGGCCAGGCTAATGTGCAGAGGAGGGTTCATCAGCAGTTCCAGCTGTGATGGAGGCAGCTGGGAGACCCACAGGGCTTCGGGTTCGGTGCCTGTGTCGCCAGTGGAGTGCAGCAGTCCCGACAACTGTGCTGTGGTCCAGGAGCCCTGTTTGCACCAGCTGGGGGTTCTAACTGGTGTGCAGGAGTTCTCCCTTTATGGTTGTCCACTTTGTAGTCAGCAGTTTGTCTGTGCTTTCCTGGTGTGAGCAATGGAGCATAGAAAGCAGGTCTGCATTGGAGCTTAGATGGCAGGTCTGCATTTGACCTTGCACAGATGTTGCAACTACTTTTAATTCTTGTGACTTGGTGCTCTGGGACCTGAATGTATTACTGTGTTGTTCTCTTCTCTCAGGGGCATGTGAATAAACTCTGTAATGAAACACTGGAGTGTTGGACTGTCTTCTAAATGTTATCACTTCAAATTTCCCTGTGCTGAATTTCCCCAGTACATCCTTATTTGATACTCCTGCACAGCCAGCACTGCCCACTCTTTGGGTTTAAAGGGACCCCTGTGTCTGTCATCCTGACATCCTGCTGGTACCTCAGGCCAACATCTGTCCTGATGTTTGGTAGGAGAAGTGACCAGCATGCCCCCCTCTGCCTCGTGTCCCTCCACACGTACCCACGTATATGAGAAGAGGGAGCCCTGAGGGTGGAATAACAATCCATGGTTTTTCTGGCAGACACTGAACTGACATGTTAACCTCAGCGTGGAGCCTGCCCAGCTCACGTACGGCTCTTACCTCAAGGTAGAGTCTCAGTTGTCTTCCTGGTCTTGTGGGAGATGAAGATGCAGAGGAGTCAGGGGCCCTGCTGGGTCCGTATAAACCTGTCCCTGGAGCCAGGCTGATAAAGCTTGATGATAACAGGAGGCAGAAGTTGCTCACAAACCTGTTTGCTTCATGATCATATCTCAGAGGACTTCTGTAGTCCTTCAGCTTTGCTGAGGCCTGAAACCAGTCTGACTGATGATTATCGAGGGTATCCAGCATCACCCTGGTGCTTTCTCTTGTGGATGTAAATCAGGAGTAATTGCACAGCAGTGAGTGGAATAGCAGCAGGTCAGCGTGGTGCAGTTGTGGGACTGTGGCCGTGGGAATTGCTTTCTTACCCTCTCCACAGCCTGGCTCTGGAAAGGTGGCTGGGGAGCAGGTAAGCCAGAGGCATGAGCTGATGTTAGGAGCTGAGTCCAAACAGCAGTCTGCTCTTTTCCCTGGTGAGAACTGCTGATTTCCTAGCAACATTCAGGGCTTTCTCTGATCTGGTAACTGTAAGAGGTGAGAAGCACCCTTGGCTTACCACAGCATCTGAAGTTGTGAGTAGAGAGAAAATCCATCCCACTCAGAAACAGGTAAGAATGTCAGTGCTCTGAACCAAGGGAGAACATTTTTGTTGCCCAGTTTAACTCAGCCCTGCCGATATTGTTGTCCTTCACTCAGTGAAACTCTCCTATTCGCTTCTTCCCAGATTGCTTGTTTTCCAATACATGACATCCAGTTAAATGTTTCTCCTCTCCAGTGTACCCTCACAGTTACTCCATCCCTATTTCATAATTCAAGTCTGCAATCCAAAGCCGCAAGGGGTCCAATAATAAAAGGTTTTTGCAGTAAATACTGTACTAACTCAGGCCAAGCCACAATTGAGTGCTAGAGGCCAAGTTAAAATGTAAGCCCAGCAAAAGCTTTAATCACAGGGGATGGAGAAGAATACATGGAGCTGAGATAGATCAGTTCCACCCATATTTCCCAAACCCCTCCGACTCATCAGAAGCTGGCTCCTTGGGCAAAGCCCTACCTACATTCAAGGGTTCTCTGGAATTTGCTGTGGTTGAATCTCTTTGAAAACTGAGAAGATGTTTCAGTTGCTTTGGTTTCTCCAGAGTCACTTTTCACTGTGGGAGGAAACTGGACTTTAAGACTAGCCAGTAAGACAATGAACTCTATTTCTTTCCCCCTCATATTCATACTTTATTCCTCTCCTACCGTATTCCCAAGGGATAATAGCTTTAATCTATAAGTACATACACTTAAATATGTATGTGTTTGTGTAATGAACAAGCAAATAAGATTTCTTTCCTGGTACAAGCAGTTTACAATGAAATCGATGGAGTTTTATTACCAAAAGTAAACACAGACCCTGACATGTCTGCACACAGTCAGCAGGACACTGGAGGCTTAAATTACATCTGTCATATTGCTAATGTAGATTCTTTAAATCATTTGGCTTACTGTAGTGATGTTTTGGGTATCACACTGGCACCTGGAGGTAGACTGTACTTTCTGCCCCTACACAGGGCAATCTGAACTAACCCAGGTGTGCCAAATGCAGCAAAAAAATTCTATATTCAGTTGATTTTTCTCTGTATTTTTTTGTTCTCCGCAATGTGTGCCCACTTGGATTGTCTGTGCGACCTCGCAAGTGCCAGCAAATTATTGTCAATTGTTGTAATTTACTACCTTGCTCTTAATAAAGCCTGCAGGTAAATTGCTGCTATTTGTGCCCTTTTCTGTTGCCTATATTTTCAGACTGGTTAAAAAGCACCCAAGTGATGTAGTTACAGAAGTATTTTTAGTGGAAAAAATATTAGGAAATGCATTTAATTTCCATGATAGTTTCTTAGGCAGTTTATTTTTGTTTTATGAGCAATAGCATTGAGATGTACAGTTTGTCATTATTAAAGCAGTGGTGTCTTTATAAAATTCTCATCATTCCTACTGTCCAAAGGCTTTTTTTTTTTTTCCATGCAAACCCTCAATATTTTACTTATATCAGCCAGTGCCTCGTCTCTATCCATTTAGGATCCTCTATAAGGCACTCCTTTTTGTTTTTTTCCTCTTTTCTGGTGCTGTGCTAAACACTGAAATCTTGATTTAGTTAAAACTTCCCTTTTAATACATAGTGATTGTTGAGGAAATAAGAATTTCACCAAAGACAGGCACACATTTTTGAAATGTGGGCTTACTCTGGAGCCAGAGAGGACTCTTCTATAAGTGCCTTAGTGCCTTAGCCTGCAGATGATCAAATTTAATTTTGTAAATGAACTTTGCAGCGTGATTGAGTTTGAACTTGATTACATTAGGCTTAACATTGAGTTTGTGCCTATTGGAGGTAGTCTTTTCATATTACTGCTATTTATGGATCTTATTCAAGTGTTTTATATTCTGGTTGGGTTCTGCAATGCAGTTTGTTCAAGCTACTGCTTATATCTGTTCCAGTTGTGCAAGAAGTGGAAAATATCCTTTATTTAGAACAGGTCACATGTTCTTGCATCCAGGAACCGCGTCTCAGTGTGATTATAAAAAAATAAAAATGTATCTTGGAGGAACAGATTTAAAAAGTTCCTGAAATATTTTTCCGTCTGTTACAGAGGAACATTACGTATTTTAAACTGAAAGGTAATAATAGCTGAGCTTAAAGTGCTACGTAGGCTAGCACTGCCTGAAATCAGTGGTAAAAGTCTTAGCCAACGTCAGTGGGAGTAGAGCTAAGCCAAAAGTATGTCTCTGAAATCTCTCCGGTAACATTTTTGTGAGTGAGTCAATAATTCCGTGTTTATTCTGCACCTCCAATTCGCTTCCCTGGGAAGGAAACCCTCACCACATCTTTTTGTACTTTTTTATTTCTGAAAACAATCTTAAAAGAAAAGGCTGCACTTGGAGTGTCTGTTGTATAAACATGTGGAGACAGTAAGTGGTATTTCCGTATATTTCTTTACACA